AGTCTCACTGACACTCATCAAGAGTCTGGGCGCGCGCCTTAGCTCGAGTCCAGAGTAGGTCAGAAGCCACAGCAGGCCAAATATCATGAGTAGAGCTGAGGATCACAGCAAAAGAAGCCTTCCTTCAGCGTACCTCTCTACAGGAGGTTTCTACTCCTGCTCTACATGGCGCTATGCGCTTTTGCAGGCAGTACGCACTTTCGAGCAAAGTACAAGCAAAGAAAAAGCAACACATGGCGAAGGACATAGGTCCTTGACGAAGGTGAATAACTCGTCTAGTCCAAGCAGCGCCGAGAGTGGTCGGCAGATGCCAGTGATCAATGGAGAGAAGACTCTCCAGACCTGCAAAGACCAGCAATGCCTTCGCAGCGGGAATGGTGGATAAGCGCACCGCCAACAAGCTACGACAAAGGAAATGCGCAAACACTAAGTAGGACCGTCAACCTCTTTTCGCCATTCGCAATACAGTGAGCCAGTAGGAATGAGAGCCTTAGCTCCTCGTTCCCAACAGGCGGGTGGTAGAGAGTGGCAATGGAGGATGCCCAGGGGGAACCTTAGTTCCCTCTGTTGATGTCCGACATTTCCAATTTTGTACAAAGGGGTACAGATACCATGTTAGGATAGGTCCAACGTTTCACCTGTTTCACACGGGCCCTGCACGCAACAGACCACTTTTTGCAATGACGCAGCATTTCACGGAGTTAGGGGACACCCCGTTTTGGCACCTCCGGGTGCCGAAGGGTGCTGAGATGACCTCCCTTCGGGGGGGTGTGCCTTTCGCACCCTTACCTGCAGGCTTTCGTCGTTTGCTATGGCCGCCACTGTCTACATCACCAATATGCCTCTGGACTTGTAAGTGCAACCAGTTGAATGGGTTGTGCCACAAGAAAGGATTTTTCCACGGCATGAAGCATAGCAACCACTGATCCATTTTGACATGGATACAACCGGCGTAGGAGCATAGCTATGCTCCTGACCTGCATCGTGACCACGTTTTTGCCACACCGTGCAGTGGCCGCTGGTCACTGGTAATTGAGAAGTGAAGTCCATTTGAAGACTTTTTGGAAACTTTGCTAGAGCACAAACCCGTGCTGCCATGCTCTTCGTTCGAGAATTCAGGCCCATTGATAGTCAGTAGTTTTCGTCTCACTAGTTTCACCTTAGCACAGAGGAAAGACTACAAGATGGTGGAGACTCGGCCTGTGGGCTCTGGTTTGCGGTTGTTTGGTTGGTTTGGTTTGTTGTTGGGTTTTCTTTGTCCTTTTCTCCGCCATCTGATTGTATTTCCCTTCCTTCAATGATGACCTGGGCACCATGCCCACACGGCGTCCGTACTCGTGGAAAAAAATACAGGCTACGTTCTCGCAGGTTGTCAGCTACCCCACCTGGACTTTGCCGAGGGTCACCAAGCAGAATTCGAAAGGTTGTCGCGGGACTGCAGGGACAAAGGCAGATTTGAGGTCCATGTCCTGTTGGGCCTCTTCGCCACCACAGGCTCCGTCTTTCGCATCAATTTCGGAAATAAGTCCAGTTCATCTCCAGACACCTTTGAGGGAGCGCTGAGTTACCATATTGCAGTACAGTCGTTGGCATTTTTAGAAGCTCCAGTCCGTGTGACCAAAGGGAAGGCTGTGCAGCTCCACATAGGCATCGTGAACAGGTTGGGTGAAAACAAGCCCAGGTAGACAAGAGGCCGAGAAAAACAGAAACTCAAGGACCATCAAGAATGCAAACTCCAGAGCCTTTTTTGACCAAGCGGTGGGGCAAGTCTTTCAAGACGCTGCGCCGGCTTCGTCTAGCTCGCAGGTTGACTGTGTACTTGCTAGCTCAAGCCGCCTGCAGATGAGTGTGTGAGAGAACCAGTTGTTGGGCCCGATAGAGCTGGAAATAAAGTTTCTTGCCCTTTCAACCAGCTCTGTAGACTTGCTGCTTGTGTTTCAACGAACGCAGGTTCCAGGAAGTCAAAAAGTGCATGCGTGACTCCCTTCTGTCTCCTTTTGTTTTCCTTTTGTTGGTCACTGTGTCCGCCTTTCCCTTCTTGTTGGTCAGTGTGTCCGCCTTGTCTCCCTTCTGTATCCCTTGGTCTCCAGTCTTGTCTCCCTTCTTGTTGGTCACTCTTGTCCCCCTTTCTGTCTCCTTTTGTTGCTGCTGGGACAGCGTGTCCGCTTTCCGTGCCTTCTAGTCCCTCTTTTTTGTTTTTGTTTCCCTTCTTGTTTCCTTTGTTTCCCTTCTTGTTTCCCTTCTTGTTGGTCATTGTGTTGTTTCATTGCGTCTGTCTTGTCTCCCTTCTGTTTGCTTTGTGTTCCTTCTTGTCTCCCTTCTTGTTGTCCGTGTTGTCTCCCTTCGGTTTCCTCTCCCTTCTTGTCCCCTTCTTGTTGGTCATTGTGTCCGCCTTGTCTTCCTTGTCGGCGGTTACGCGTCCTCTTGCAGAATACAGGCTTCGCGGAGGAGAGTCCTCGTGTCCGAGGGTCTCACCCTTGTCGGGTGTCTGGGCCGAATGATCCAGATCACCCAGTCGAGTACGAGGGCGGCGCGTTGCTTGTGATGTGGATCGGATTGCGTACAGTGCCTGCGCCAGGCCTGTGTCATTTCACAGTGCCTTGTAGCAGCAACGCACCCACTTCTCGTGGATTTTAGGTGATAGCCTTGCTTCCCAGTTGGCAGCAAGATTGGAGCCTGGTTCCCAGAAGCCGCAGCTTGACTGCCAAGTGAAAGGCAGCTCCTTTGGTTTGCTGGCTACCTTTGGCAGTTGGCGGTTGCAGCCTTGATGCAAAGCAGTCGCGACTTTGATCGCGAAAGTTCACCCGGTGAGGGCTACCTTGAGTTGGCGGTCAGTACAGGGTCCAATGTAATCTCATGGGTTTCGGTCAAAACAAGAACTTCAGCGCCGCCTTTTTTGAATTCTTCAGAAAAAACAACAAGCAGTTGTGCATTAGACTATTACTACTAGTACTACTACTGGTACTAGTACACTACTACTACTCCTCACATCCTCCTACTCCTCCTACTACTAGTAGTACCACCCCTGCTACTACTACTATGACTGCTGCGATTGCTACTACAGCTACCAGCAGGACTACGACGAATCGGCCTACCACACCCTAGAAACAAAAGCTGCAGCATTTTTTTTTTGCAACTCCCTCACAAGTGTTGTTGTCTTTGCCCAGCTACTAGAAGCAAATAGTGCAGCGCGAGCGCCAGCTGCAAGCGCCAGATCGCAGTGGGCGCTACCGGACTTCAGATTTCAACCGGAAGCAGTGGGCGCTACGAAACCGCACGCCTAAGTTAGGCGTGCAAAGTCCTTGGGTCAACAGGGGTGTGCCATCTAGGATCCATACTGCTTCTGCGAATCCACTTGTTTCTTTTCCTGCCATGGTTTTGTTTGCTCAATCACGTAATGTCAAACAAACAAACGCAACCACAAACCCACAACCGCAAACACGCAACCGCACCCACAGCAAAAACATAACCGCAAACACACAATCACAAACGCGCAACCGCAAACACACAATCACTGACACACACCCACAAACACAACCACTAATGACAAACCGCAAAACGCAGCCGCACACACACAACCACGAACGCACACACACACACAAACGCAACCACGAACACAATCACAAAGACACCACAAACACAACCAAAAACGCACGACCGCAAACACACGAACGCAACGACAAACACACAAGCACAAACACACAGCCACAACACGTGCAGCTCACATGACACAACTTTCCATTTTAAACCGGTGAGAAGTCAGACGTTTTGAAAGAAAACGCATGTAAAACGCTACAAGTTCAAGTTCAACGTTGGCGTCATAAGTTCCGTTCTCAATTCCGGGCGTTTCGCACCGCTGCGTGAAGGCGGATCCTCCAGGTTTCACCAAGTCATGTGCGATGTACTTGGCCTTCAAAAAAATTATCCGTGCTACTGCGTGCTACTGGGCGAAAGCAGGGAAAAGATCACGGAGGCAACCTTTTACGGTTTGGACCTGCAGTTGGCGGTTGAAGGGTTTTCGTATGTTTTCGTGATTTCTTTCAGTTTGTAGTTTGTAGATACTAAGGAATCAAGCAAGATGCTGGATACACGCGACTTGACCGGTAAATTGGGGATGTTCTTCCAACTTGGAAAGGTTCAGATTTGGATGCACTTCAAGAATTGTGTAGGTCAGGTCGGCGCCAAACCATCAACACCTTCTTCAAGAATGACATGTTATTTTTTGGGAAAACAGAACCGTCAATACGTTTTCTGGATGATGCAAGAGTACTGGCAGTGCTGTTTCTCACGTGGGCACAGATTCTGTTCCCATCCGTGGAGCGCCCAGCACTTTTGGTTCAAGAAGAGCGCCCAGTGCTGTGGGAGAAATGTGTCAGAAACATACAGTAATTTGTCACATAATCATAATCTTTTTGGGAGCGACCCACCAAAAGTGGCACTTGGCTTGGTCAATTATGTCCTCTTGACTTTTAGATGGCGCATTGATTGTGCGCCGCGCGCAGTTCCTTTCTATGAGCGTTGCAGGCAGGGCAACTCAGCGCGCAAGTTCACGGCTAAATGGGCAAACACTGGTTGGACAGTTTAAAGCAATCATCACTGGTTGATTCAAGGTGGAGTCTCCATCCTTTTGACCGGTGGAGGTAAGGTAAGGGACGGACTTCATATGTTCACATTGATCTCAGACATGACCTGGGAAGAAAACACCTAACACCTACGGCTGATCCATTCCGCTCTACTCCGACCGAAGAACCCCATGGGAGGAACGCGCCCCGTTGAAGCACATGTTTCTCACATGTTTCTGAGGGGAAAACGTCAACAGCAAGTAGGACTAAATAGGAGATCCTTGATATCATCCAAAGAATAACTAAGTAGGAGTGGATCGTCGATCGTCAGGCAGTACTGCCTCACCAAGTAGTCCTCCGACCCACTTGATGCTGTATGCTGCCCAATTCGCCTCTTCCCACCGTCTCTTCCGGCGCCAGCGCAGCGTCGGTGGATCGATGCAGGCGGTCGGGAGTTGGATCGATGACGGGGATGACGAGGGGTCGGGGGGTCGAAGTGGAGGGAGAGGGACTTCGGGAAGAGGTGGTGACTTCACTTCCGGTGGTGACTTGAGGTGGTCCTTCTCGAGGTGTTTCTTTTTTTGGACATCAATCTCTGTAAATTGGATTTGTCATGTTGGTCATGTTTGTGGCTGGAGAAATGAATTGGACATTTTCGTTTGAAGCGGCTTCTGTTGGTTTTTGGATCCAGGGGGACAGCGAAAGGATTTGGAGAGAGTGGCTGGACCACACTGTATTGGTAGCAGAGGTGCCCAAAGAGAACTCTGCTGTTGGAACAGCTCTTGATTGCAACAAACTTAAGACAATCAAGAATGAAAGGGGGTGAGGCTCCGTTTGCCAGTGCCATAGTTCAACTACTTGTCCCAGGCCCATTTGATGTTTTCTGCAGGTCTTTCATCAATGTTTTCCTGCGCATTGAATGAAACAACATGTAAAAAGCACGATGCATATTCGTTGGTTTTGTAAGCGCCGCCACTGCGCCGCCACGGCCAGTTGCTTCACTGCCAGTGGGTGAACGCGCGGGCTGTGCGAGCTGTGCGGGCTGTCAGGCAGAGCCCGTCGGTTGTTCTGAGTTCCTAACTCCAGGGTTTGAATCTCACATGGCTGTGGTGTGCATGGCACCTGGAGCCCTGTAGACCTCCCGGTCGGCCGGTTGGCCTAGCTGGTAGGCAGGGTGGTCTTCAGATCCGGGTGGGAAAGCAGGGTGTGCTGGTGCCATGACCCACGGTCACAAGAGTTGGGAGCTTTGGGAAGGACTGTAGTCGATGGTCGATGGTCCCAGGGTCCGACTCTACGCTCGACTCGATGGTGACGTCGACGGAAAAGAAAAACACCGTACAACCGTACAACATCGTGCAATTGAAATGCTGTGACTGTAGTGACAGACGCCTAACAAAGGAGAAACACAAAAAAGCAGACTCAGAAGCACAGACTGTCTAAACAATGTTGCTGTCTGTTTGGAAGCACGAGGAATTCCCTGGCTTCTGGGCCATCAGCTCTGATTTTGCAAAGGAACGAAACCAACCAGCGACATGTTGAAACAGAATCTACAGTTTTTCATCCAGCAGAAAAATCATGGGTTCCAAATATACTGTTTATCATTGTTATTGTTATGTCTTTAAAGTTGTTGTGGCTCACTTTTTTTGAAGTGCGTGATCCTGTTGTTCCGCAGGATTGGAGAGTGCCAGATGCACTGGAGCTGCAACCCCTCACCCCGATCGCACACCTTTCCCGGAATTCCCGATTGAGCTGAAGAAACGTGACTGTGTCAACCAGCATAGGCTAATCTAGGGCGGTCACCTCTGTCACTGTCCCTAGAGGAGAGACAAAGGAGTAGACATATTGCGAGTTTTCAAGCTTGACCAGAGCCATGACAAGAGGGATGCGTCTTTGCGTCTTTTTCTACGCTCTTGAGACTGCAGGGAACCGGTTTTTTCGCGGGTGGGAGACGTGCGTTCCCGTCGGGTCAGGTTCCTCACGGTGGGCCGGCGAGGGGCCTCAGGAGTCTAGGGCAGCAAGTCGAAAGTGATTCGATCATCGCCCCAAGAACCGAATGGCATGAAGCAGTCCCAACATACCACACTGTGTATAACGTGTGACACCAAAAGCACAGACATACTGAAACATGTGAAACCCGATGCATGACACAAAATATGATGATCATATATGGTCATCCCGGTGGAGAATTGGACATTGACATCCAGTACGTACTCTTGGAATCCAAGGCTTTTGAAACATAAAACATCTTCCCGATCCGTAAGTCTCGAAGTGCCTTACACTGCAGAATTAGACAGGCCAACAAGTATAACTGTAGGATCCACTTCTTTCCTCATTCCCTACCTATAAGGGGCGTGGTGGCATCCAGTACGGAGTGCGTCCTTCGCCCAGCGAAGTCCACCAGGCTGGACCGGGTCGAGGGGCTTCGCGCCGCAGCCCGCGCGCCGCGGCAGCCCATCGCGCTGGAGGACAAGGCGCGGCATGGGCGGCGGAGCGGAGAGGGCGGTGCCTGCGACGTAATGACTGCTGATGAACGTAGTATCACGTTCGCATGGACGTGAATGACGTGGGCAGGGGAAACCTGTTTTTCTTCACAGCCATATTTGGTGTTCTTTTCGTGAGTTGGGATGGATGTGTAGATGTGTTGGGTTGTCCAACCACCCAGGTTTCCAATCCAACAAGGCTCGCTATTCAAGTCAGTAGTGATCCTTTCTTAACCTTTTTGACCTTCACCTTCCACTGAAGTCCTGAATTGGGGGAACCCTCGAGATGCGTCAAAATCCTGTTGTTGCATGTGTTTGCCGGTTTTGTGTTGTGATATGTTTGAAATTTGGCTGCCGCCAAACCAATGGGTTTCAGTTTGCCTGCTGTTTTTGGGATTGGTTGACCATTCTGATAGTTTCTATAGTTGTCCCCATAGGAGTTTTAGGATGCAATCGAACCTGACTCCAGGTAGCCTTGCCCTATGGCTAGAATTCTGGCTGAAATACAAGTGATGAACAGTCTCACAGTAGGCCACTTTTCATGCAAATCCAGCTCCACTTATTATGTTCCTTCAAAGTTTAAGACTATTTTTTGTTCTACGCATCCCAGAGATGGGAGGATCTTCAGGAGACCGAAGCATTACCAGTATCGTTGGAGGGTGCAGGGCGGGGCAAGCCAAACGAGCCGAGACGTCCTTTTCCAATGCCGAACGAACGGAATGAACCAACTCTACGGCTCAACAGGAATACCAAAGCATCACAGTCGCACTTTCTCTCATTCACAGGCACTTACTTGAACTCATGCCCCTTCTATGTTCTTATGTTCTTTAGTGCGACAGTCAAAACATATTGCAGACCATATAAAGAGACAATTTAAAAGAAACATGGCAGGATTCACGCGGCCATGGATGCTGTGGCATGTGCTTTGGACAGCAGCAAGTTACGCCCCTGGCACAGCTCACCAGCGTGCCCTGAGTCCTGACACTGACATTGAAAGTTCTGATGCGCCTGAGCCTCTCCTTGCCAAGTACTTTGTTGAAAAACTTGGTGAAGCAGCTGCAGCTGCAGGGGTGCCAAAAAGCTGGCCTGACATCCCGCTTGCTGCCGGAAGGGCCAAGCTCCTGATTGACTTGGAGCGTGCAAGGGTCCTGGCCTGGAAGGAGTGGGCCACGCAGCAATCAGTGACGTGCACAGAACATAGGCAAGGACTGTCACAGCTAAGAGGCAGCCGGCCACAACCCCAAACTACAGAGCGCTCTTGGCCAAGGCCGTTCGCGCTGTTGGCGTTGGTGCTTCTCATGCTCTGCAGCCTTGCTATATGTGGCAAGAGGCTGGGCAACTGGCCCGAAGGACAACCTGCCATTCAAAGTTCTCCCGGCCCCGCACGCCAATGCCAAATCGAGCTATGCCAAAGAGCATTGCAGACTGAGAGATCAGTGGATCCTCCGACTTTGTTGTCACCTACGCGCGTGAAGAAGATTCAGCGCACAGATTCCTGGATGAAGCTGGCCAATGTCGGAGTGCAAACTGACTTGGGCGAGGCTTGTGCAACGAGTGCTTCGGCTATGCGGGTCGGAAGCCAAGGCGAAATTTCACAGAGCGCGCTCAGACAGCCGTCAGCCTGGATGCGTGCTGAAAGGAAACAGCCTTGGTCAGACACAAGACGCTCTAGTAGGTTCATGTTGCAGCCGCAACAGTGGAGTGAGGCCTTTGACGATGCCTACCTAGGAGTTGTGGAGGAAAGGGGGGGGCGAGATTTCAATCGGCTTTGGTGGCACAGTCCGACAAGGGCAGTGGGCAGATTTTTTGATGGCCTCCAAGCAATTTCACCGCGGCGATACAGAACTTTTTGCCGAACTGTACTTTGGACTTTTGATCGGCTCCTCTCCCACATTAGGGTTTTGCGCAACAGCCGACGGTGACCCGCGCCTTATCTCAGCATGGCTGCCCGAGACATCTATGCAGCACGTGAGACGGACGAGCTGGTCATCCGAGACAAGCAAGGCCTTCGTTTGTGACTTGCTGCTTGCGGTTCTGTCTGTGCATGAACTTGGGCTGGTGCATGGGCGATTTGAAGCCTGACAACATTATGGTTGACCAAGACGGGGCAGTGCGCCTGATCGACTTTGGCTCCGTGTGCCGGCCAGGCGACCCTGGCCCCATGTCTTGCGCTGTCTACAGGCCACCGGAGGCTGTCGCCTCCCTGTCGTGGGATGTTTTTTCGATCGGGTTGATTCTGCGTGAACTTGACTGTGCAGGGTTGGACCTGTGCCCGTGCACTAGCGCATTGTGTATGGACATGTGCGCAGAAGTGGCTGAAGAACGGCCATGTTTGCGACAGTGCACTTCAAGGGTGATGCGCTGCCGCTGCGCCTGCCGAATCTGAAAATGCGCTGCAGTCAAGACACCATTGCTCAAGACTATTTGGAAGTTAGTTTCCGAATGTTCCTGATAAACTTTGCAATCCCCTCAACCTCCACAGAAGGGGGATGCTGCCGCAGATGCACGCCCTTGTGGGCATGGGGTCACGTCATGCAGGTCGATTATTGCCTGGTTCACTTGGAGCAGCTGTCATCTGAGAGGACGGAGCAGCAACGGCCTCCTCTGTCTCCTGTCGATTGGGAAGCTTGTCTCATGTTCCCCTCGGTCACTGCAACATAGAACTACATGGGACTTGCTGTTTAGCTGCTTGATTTATCGTTTTTATCGGTGTGTTTCAGGACTTTATTTTTCTTGCTTTATTTGGTCGGGAACAGAGGCATTCATGATTTATTATGCAAATGATGCACTGTTTGATCGCCTTGCAGGTCAATCTCCTGCGTGACCCACAGGTGTTTCCATTCAGAGCTGCCATTGACAAACCCTAGGGTTCCTGGCCCGTATCCTCACGTTCGGTGGTTAGACCCCCTGCCACCCACCCCCACCATTTTCTCAAGAGGTATACGCTTGGAACCCAAATGGGAAAGAAACATTTTTTCCTTCGCGTTGTTTCCAGCAGGACGGATCCCCTCAAGTTGCGCTACCAACGGCGTTTGAAGGACCGCGGTGCACCGGTGTGTCCGGTGCGCCGTACTCCCGCGGTGTCCTGGGAGCGGTGTTCCGGTGCCCAGGAGGATCAACCGCATGATCGGTGAAGGTTCATCTATCCAGTTTTATTCTTGTTATTTTTGTTATTTTGGACCTGCAAAGAGATGAGTCAAGATTTCAGATGTGACCTAGGTGGCCATTCAAGATGGACATGGGGAAAATTTTGGTGCAATTACTGTATCTCCGTGACCTTTACACCGCTTTGCCCAACTAGATGCCAGGCCTTGGGCTTACTCACATCTGAGTTTGAGTCTTCCAATCTAAGCTCCTTGAAACATCCAATCTCATACAGGGACATAATAAGTGTCAAACATAGACATAGTTATATTATAACCACTCAAAGGACGCTGCTGTCCTTTTCTGCTTTGAACAAAGGGCTTCGGTATGTGCTGACCATATGTTATGGTTTCAACTGCAAGCGAAAACGAAATCGGCTGCATGCTCTCCCCTCGCGATTCTATCGTGCAAGGTGCAGCCAAATCAAACAGACTCAAGCCCTCTCCTTCCGGGTTCTCGGATGCTGGAGGTGTGTCACAAAAGAAGGCTTCAAAAATGCATCTTCTGTTCACCAGCCTAAAACGACATTCCCGCAATGTGCGAGGCCAATGGAACAAAAAGCTAAGCACACTTCCCTCTCACTGCGAACACCCCCATGTCATTCGGAGTCTCAACTCAGCACGTGTGAACCTTGGAGCTGGCCATAGCAAAGAAGAGGCTAACTCCGGTCCAGCTTTGCTTCAAGTAGCCCATTGAGCGATTTCCTCGGCGGTTGTCCACCCTAGCAAACACACGGCCGTCATCTAGCTTGCCTAAGGAAACCACACCCGCCGTGATCCCGTCACTGGAAGGCGGAGCACCCACCTCCGTGTCGTAGAGCTTCTTCCGCCACTCACCGTGCTTAAACACAATGATGTTGAGGGTGCCCTGCTGAACCTCCACCTGCAACGTGGTTGGTGATCTCTGGCTAGGGCTTTCAAGTTCGCTAAGGAGTGAGTCAGGGAACATCCACGAAAAGCCAGCCAGTTCACCATCTCTCAGCCGTCGAACAAAGCGCGGCAATTGCTCACCCTCCCTAGCGAAGAAAACTCCATCAAAGAAAACATGCGGGCCCACCATCGGCAACTCGCGGTGAGCTTCCACTGCTTCGATCTGATCTTCTCGGCCTGTAGAGAGCCGTCGAAGAGATGCCCCTTCCATTTCTGTGCTCACGGCCTGGGAGTGCGAAGACGAAGACAACGGCACTGAACCCAATCCAGTGCTCCCAAAGCCACCAGTTCCTCTTGCAGTGGCCGACAGCGAAGAAGAAGCCTCTAACTTCACCCGTTCAATCTTTTCCAAGATGAGCTGGCCTACCCGGTCACCCACGTTCACCTCAAACGGTTCCGCACCATTATTGACCAGGATGATCTTGACCTCTCCCCTGAAGTCCGCGTCCACCACACCACCGGCGACATCAACCCCTCTCAATGCCATCGAGCTTCGAGGAGCAATCCTTCCATAGCACCCAGGAGGGATTTCTAATGACAAGCCGAGTGGCACCAAGCGGCGTTCTCCTGGTCGAAGAGTCACCTGCACTGACGATGCAAGATCCCATCCAGCAGCTCCCGGAGAACCCTGCACTGGCAACGTTGCTTGGTCATTGAGAAGGAAAACCTTAAGGGATTCTTTTCGTGCAAAGAGGCGACGAAATAGCTCCCAGCCCATCTCCTTTGCCATGTGGAGCAAACACACAAGACCGGCCAAAAGCAGGATCCATGCCTGATCACCCCAACCTCCTTCTTCAACTTCTCCCCTGGTCTCCTTTGTCCCATGCGTTTCCGCGGCTTGTGCTCCTGGAAGCATAGCTGCGCCCACCGCTAGCAGAGAGAGTGCCCTAAGTGCCTTGGAGTTCTCAATGGTTCCGACACAATGACTGTCCCCCTTTTTCTCAAAGTCCTTCGTCACCAACTCCAACGTGCCCAACCATACTCCTTGACAAAATCGATCAAGTTGCTGAGCAGGGAGCGGCTTAGTGAGACCATCGGCCCACAACGAAGTGCCGGCGCGATGATTCAAGATGATCTCACCCTCTTTTAAGGCCTCAGCGAGACAGCTTGCACGAATCCTGAGATGACGGGTCCTCCATCCGCCACCTGAACCAGAAGCCAGAATCACTGCAGCTCTGTTATCGTTGTAGATCTCAAGGTCCACCTTTTGAATAAGGAGCTGGATCAACGCTCGCACCGAACGGCCAGTCTGGAGACCTTCAACAATGGCTGTCAACTCAGCCTCTGCTGTGGAAAGCGCCATCAGAGTTTGCTTCTTTGACTCCCACTGCACTGGACAGCCCGCCAAGAGGATGATAGTGCCGGACACACTGTGGCTGTCACCTGGAGAAAAAGAGGCATCCACCAAGACTTCGACGGTACCGGCATGACGGGGTTGCCCTCTTCGAAGATCCGGACTCATGTCCTCCGGCACCCCATTGGTGTAGTGGAGCCCAAAGTTCAATGTGTGCCTCACATAGGCCAAAACAGCCTTCCCTAATTCGATCGTCCAGCATGGTCTCTTGACTGCATTCTGGGCCATCTTCATCACCGCCCAAGCCAGATCTGGACGTGTCTTGCCGGAGAGCCAGAGCAGTTCTCCTGTGATTTTTTGGGCCTCTCTGACCTTCGGGAGCGACACCGCCTCCTCTTGCTCGGAGTCCTCAGGGACCTTGATGAACTGTGTGGTTGAAGTACCTGGGTGTCTGTCTATGATCTCCCGAGCATAGCACTCTTGGTGGAGAAAGTAAGAGCCATCTTCCCGGCGTTGGATCTCAATGCCCAAAAACCTCATTGACCCACCTCCCACGACAGCATACTCAGGCGCCGATGTTGACCATCGATTCCGGATTGTGGCTGAGGCTGCATCGGTGATAGACCTGGCTCCAACCATGAGGATGTCATCCACATACACAATCATGTGGCCCAGAACCTCCCCCCAGCTCTTGCCCCCTTCCTTCTCCGATAAGAAGACCTCCTGGATGGCCCATAGGTTCGGATCTTCCATAGGACGAAATGCGAAGCGCCGTTCACGCTCCATTCCTCTGCCCTCCTCCGCCTTGAACACACCCTCCATCTTCTGCAGCTCAGCATCACGAAACGAGCTCCAATCCTTGGGCGACGTCACCAGCCCGTACATGGCAGAAGATACCAACCAATGCTCACCCGCCTGGGTCAATTTGGCCTCTTCGAGTATTTTCGGTGGCTTGACGATGACCGTCTCCCCTTGTGCCTTTGGTGCCAGGAGGAATGCCGACTTCACATCAAGGGTAAGGCACTCCCACTTTCGAAGAGCTGCAACTCGAAGTGTCGCTCTGAGCTGTGTTGAATCAGCCCCTGTGGCATAGACCTCATCTCCAGCTCGCGGCTCCATATAGTTCCCACAGCAGACAATTCGAGCGCGGCGACGACCATCCCCAGCCTTTCGAGTAAAGACTCCCATGCCTGGGATCAGCTCTGCCCTTTCTCCTTTTTCAAGTGCCTCCGCCAGGATCCTTTTTGTCTCCTCCTCGTCAATCCTTTTGATCGCCTTGTTGTTGTCAAAGTTGTCGATCTCTGTGCGAAGAGGAGGAATCCACAAAGGCAAAGACTTTCTTACCTCCTGCAGGCTTACTGTTCGGGTCTGCAAGAAGATCTCCTCACTCTCCTCCGCCACCCTTGATGCCTCGGCTTCCAATCTTCGGCATGCCGCACCCTGGTTAGGAAGGAGCTTCTCAATCTTCATGTTCTCCTCATCCAAGTCATAGATCACCTCAATGACATCATCTTCTCTTCCCTTGGGAATTTCCATGCGTCCAAACTCCTCGTTCGCCCATTCTTGACCTCGATGAAGCCGATCATGTAGTTCCTTAGCCGAGAGGCAGGACAACGATGTCTTCTCGCTCAGTCTCCTGCGAGGAACCACTGCCCCATCCAAGATGCTGGCAGGGTCAGGACGCTCTTCCACCGTCACCACATCCATGAGCGTTGGAGGATCCTCAGCCTGCACGATGTCATTCGTCCTGACGTACTTCCCCTTCTCCACCTCCACGATGTGTCCACCGCTGGTCAAGCTCATCTCGGGGTCAGGACCGCGGACCACTCCAGGTTTCTTCCTCTGCCTCCAATGGCCTTGGAAGTCATCCCAGCCTTTTGTTGTCACCATGACCTTCCTCCCCCATGGCAATAGTGCTGGTGTAGTGAACCCCAAAGCCCGAAGCTGCATTCGACCTCGACGTTCACCAATGTGCTTGGCCATCAACGGCCACAAGTCTTCTCCCTCCTCCGACGATCGAATCAACGCGTTGATCCCCCTCCTGATGACCCCGATCTCTGCCTCCGCCCGGCCATTGGCCTTCCAATCGCTGCCGCACGTGAAGGTGCGGTATATACCGCGGTCTTCACACCACCTCCGAGTACCCAACATCTCCGCAGCTGCATCACTATGCGCCCGACGAACTTCCATGCCCAGGTACTTCAGGCGTGCCACCATGCGAGCGAGCGCAGCTTTGAGATCAGCGCCCTGTCGAGAAGTGAGCGTCTCCACCATGGTGTAGTTCCGAATGATCACGTCCTCCGCCTCAACCTCCAACCGCTCCCATTCTTCTAGCCTCTTTGGATCTCCCTCCTTGGCTTCTTCTACCTCCCCCTGTACCTCCGGGACCAACGGCTCCTCAGGCGGCACTTCTTCTGGATCTTCGGCCGTTGCCAAGGCCTCCACTAAGCTCTGAGGAAGTGGGTCTGCACCATCTACGGTCTTCTTCACTGGGATCGCGTAGACACCCACAAGGAAGTAGCGGGATTTTTTGCGGTAGTCCTCGCCCGGTCTGAAAGGTCCACAAACATCTAGGCTCAGTGTCATAGCATCTGGATGCGGAACCTTTCGATGAGGCCTGCTCTTCCCAGCCCCCCCTCAGGCAGGTAGTGCACTCCTTTGAGAACGGAACATGATCATTCCAGACATGCGTCTTCCATTGATCAGCCGTCATTTTGGCCACAGCTGCGTGATCTCCCTCCATCGATGCACTGCACTTGGCATCGAGCTCAAAGATGATGGCCTTGACCACCTCCTCCTTGAATCTTGTAGGCCACGCTGCCCATCCCCTGCTCTGGTTTGATCTCTCCTCCATGGATGCCTCTGTGCTAACCACCTGATCACGAGCACGATGGTCAGACAAACCATTGAGGTTGAAGAGAAGCGGGATGTTAGTTCCCAAGGTGGTTGGCTTGCGACGATCATGACCTAGAGCTCCCAAGTCCAGACGAACCTCCTTGAGATCAAACCTATTTCGGAACTCTTCCCACTCCGGCCAAGCGTAGAAGGACGGGTACTCGATGGGGTCGTTTGGGGTCTTGTACTCCTCCGGATCCCTCGGATGCTCCTTGAGAAAGAGCACCAAGCGGTTGCGAGCTGCACTTGCCAGAGTGTAGAGCCACAGCTGCCTCATCCACAAGACAGCATCCCTAAACGCCAGTTCCCGCATAGAGTCAGACAGGTCCTTCAAAGCAAAACGTTCCGGCCCAGATCGTGCTCGGAGTGGTGGTGGACCTGGTCTCCTGAAACGAAGCTTGGAAACCGTCCGGCACGGAGGTCCTCCTAGGATCACATCCACAACCCCCTTTTCACACACCTCGGCCAGGAAGCTGGTTAGATGATCTGACAATAGATCTTGAGCAGCATCAGCGGACTTGTCAATGCAGAGGACCGTCCTGGAGTTGGAATCGAGCTGCTTCTTCCACCAAGCTTGATCCGGGCCTGAGAAAAGGTGCAAGATCACTGACGAGCTCGAAAGAACACGTTGACGTTGTCTACGATTCAACGGAACCTGCTCGCCAGACCATTTTCCTGTAGGGACCACCCTTGCTATCAATTCGTCAGGAACCTCAGGCCACATCTTTCGAAGATCGTTCAGCCACCTCCAAACACTCGGAGCCAGGTCCCCAGGATTACCGGCCTTGAGAGCGGCCACACGCCGGTTCATGTCGGCCTCATACTTCTCCAGCTCCTCAATCATGTGGTTGGCCACCTTGAGCTCCACTGTTGGGCATCCAGCTTCCAGGAGAACCTCCACCTTCTTGTTGGCCGGGTTCCAGAGCTCGAAGGATTCCCCCTCCCACTTGACCTTATAGCCCAGCCGGACAATCTTCCCCAGCGGCACGATCGTTTGGGTATCAAAGTCCGTCAACAAAGTCCCAGACGTCTCCACCTGTCGAAGCGTGGTCACCCCAGCAGCCAACTCCACTTTGATGGGGATAGCCCTGTCAAATTCCGCCTTCGAGTGCGCGGGTCTCAGCACATGGGTGGCGCCCCCATCCAGTAGTGCCCTCGAAGGTCCATCCTTCGGGTTGACTGAGCGCATATTCACGGCCTTGACCGATGGTCGAAGTGACTTCAGAAGCTGTACCGCCTCCTTCACCAAGTCATCTGATGGCTGGATAGTCGGTGGAGTGAACGTAGTGGCCGAAGTCCCATTATTTGGCAGCGCACCCGAGTTCTCCCCATTCTTTCCACCCACCTCCTTGCCCTTAGACTCGTCCGTGACCTCCTTCTTGACCTTAGGCACATCCTTGACGGGGCAATCCGGTTTCATGTGCTGCGTTGAGCCACAGGTCCAGCACCGGCCCTGCTTTGAAATCCCTTTCCATTCGTGGGGAAACGAGCACTTCTGTCCCTTCTTGCACCCCGACTCCGAGAGGAAGTAACGGCAGACCGGCTTCTCAGATCCGCCAGCCTTGTTGTCGTTCCTGACATTCTTGGAGTCGACCTTCACATTCTTGGAGTCCCGCTGGTCTTTGGAGTCAGCGCTATCCTTCACCTTCTCCTTCCCGTCCCGCGGTTTTCCACCATCTTCTTTCCCAACTCCATCACCATCCAAAGCACGCACCTTGACCGTCTCCTTGATGGGGGCTGTCGAACCTCCATGAAAGGTTGCCTCACCCTCCGCCAAAAGCGACTCCGCGAACTGTTGAATCCCATTCTCGGTAGGAGCAACGTCCACCCGAAGCGCCGCCCGAGTCACCTGAAGGCGAAAAGCCACCTGTGAGGAATGCTTAGCAAGTCCAGCTGCAAAACGGTCCAGTGTGGCCAAAAGGAGCACCGGGTCAGGGGGCTGGATCTCGAGCTCTTGTACTCGCGTCAACCATCGTCGCCATGCCCTCAAAGATGTCAGCCACTCTCCCAACGCAGATGGCACCTTTTGATCAACCAATTGTTTGAGCAACGTTGTACGCTCACCAAGGCCACCCGGCTGGTACACGCGGAGGATCTTGAAGATGATGCTAACTGATCCAACCTCCCTCTGGGATACAAGTTCTGATCGTAGTGATTCCGGGATGGCCTTGAGCAAAGCCACCGACCCCCGCTGTTCAATGCGAAGCCATGGTGGTCTCTGAAACGCAGGTGGAGCAACTGGCACCAACCTCAAACGCTCCATCGGCTCAGAGTTCAACCAAACCCGATACAAAGCACCTGCCACGTTGAGAACTTCATCCCACCACATAGAGGAGCTGGAACTCATATCACGCAAGAACGGCCCCACTGTGGTCAACCAATCGCCGGCAATCAAAGGTCCTATCTCCGACTCCGACAACTCCGGTAGTGCAGGAAGGTCCACTGCCCTCACCGACTCCTGTTGTGCCATGAGCCCTCCCAGCCATGCAGGAACACCTGCATATGGAGCACCTGGATCACCACCTGGAGGGCCTGGGAAGCCACCACCACCAGGAAAGCCACCTCCCCCAGGTCCCGGAAGTCCTCCTCCACCTGGAAAACCCCCGCCGCCTGGATGGCCTGGATGACCAGGGAAGCCACCACCTCCAGGAAAGCCGCCTCCCCCAGGTCCCGGAAGTCCTCCTCCTGGAAAACCACCGCCGCCTGGATGGCCTGGATGGCCAGGAAAGCCACCACCTCTGGGATGTTGTGGACCTCCTCCACCCCCGCCATGAAGACCGCCGCCTGGTACTCCTCCTTGAAGTCCTCCCAGGTCACCATAGATCCCTTGCCCTTGAGCTCCCCAAGCAGGATGTCCTCGTGGAACACCATCACCTCCTTGACCTGCCGAAGGAACCCCATTGTCCGTCTTCGTGGACCCCCTCACCGACTGGTCCCTTTCACTTGTGGCTTCACCGGGGCCACACACTGTCTTTCCATGATCTTGTCCCGAATCACCTGGAACCGCAGCGGTGCCACCCTTGAGACCCCCTGCCTCATAGTGACCTGGCCCAGCTCCCAACGTCGATGAAATTTCCTTAGCCATCGCCCCAGAGCCAGTCTTTGTGAACGCCCGAGACATGTCCATCACACCTGGGAGCAACGATTGCACGACACCACCTGCCGCCGCCGAAGACACCCGGTTGAACACTTCCATCAAACTCGTCTTCGGACCGCCCTGATGCGGAGAGGAAGCACCATATCCACCATTGAAGGCTTGCCCACCAAACTGTCCCCCACCAGAACCACCATTCGAGAGAGGTCCAAGGAGTCCTCCATTCATGGGCATTCCCGGTGTCCCTGAGGGCATTCTCATGGATCCCCACATAGACCCCCATGAAGATCTCTCTCGAGCACCACCATCCGGCATCATCCATGGAGGACCTTGAGGCCAAGCACCTGCAGGTGGACCCCAACTTTCTCTCTCCGTCCAGAGGCGAGCATTTTCACTGATCAAGCCCTGGAGGATTGCCTTGAAAGCTTCTGCCCCTTCACGAGGCGGGCTAGCTGAAGGAGTTTCACCCGGCACAAGCTCTGTGGATTCGGAAGGAAGGTCCATGGGCCTAATGGCACGTAAAATCGCTTCATCCCTCATCCCTTCACTCCAGAAAGGATTCCAGTTGGCCGGACCCAGGACTGTCGGAGGTCCCTCCGGGCGTGCGATGACCCCTGCCGAAGGTGGGACATCTTCTATGGCTTTCACGCCACCACTCTCAGGAGTTCGCTCCAGCGAGGCATCATCGCTCATGGCGAACACTCCGAACCAAACCAAAAAAACGAGAACCCTTACCACGTGGGCGTGGTTGGGCTCATAACCCACTCAAAGGACGCTGCTGTCCTTTTCTGCTTTGAACAAAGGGCTTCGGTATGTGCTGACCATATGTTATGGTTTCAACTGCAAGCGAAAACGAAATCGGCTGCATGCTATAACATCTCCTGCAGGATTGGTAGAAAGAACAACCGGGTCATTGTATAACTCTCACAAGAGCAGATTCATGCCATTTTTGCAGTTACTTTCATCTACTTGAACCATTCCCTACGCAGCAATCTTTGTTCTTTCCTGGAGTAACAGTATCTTACGTACAGTACAACCTACAACTCCAATACAACTCTGAGCCAGGAGCTTTATCAGGCCCGCGGGGCTCTGACCTCAAGGCAACTGGTGCGCCTACTCGTGCGGCACCTCAAGATGACGCACAGCTATAGGGTGTGTGTGAAATTCGTTTGGCGATTTCACTCGCCGATTGATGGTGCGTGAGCCTTCATAGGTGGTTTGTACAATCATTTGTGAATTCTTCCCCTCCCTTTGAGGCATCATACTAGACCCTTGCAAGGGTTTGAACATTTGATCGACTTCAGCAACGGCTGTGCGCGAACTGCGATCGAAGCAGGCGATATGATAATACAAACATAGAAAGGGACAGGGATTTGAAAGGAGCGCATCACTCGATTGTTGCCCAGAGGGTCAGATCCAAAACCACAAACACAATCATTTGGTGTGTATATATTATATGTATATATATATATATGTATATCTAGTTTTTTCTTTCTGGTTTGATCCTCAAGCACCCAAGGCTTCCATGGCCGAACATCCTTTGGTTTTGGACTCCGAAGGGGCCAGGCGCGCCACAGCGCGCGCGTGGGTGGTGACCTTGCTCGAAGGTATCAAAGATGGAATCATGCAAGATTTTGCCCTGTCTCGGTTCACAACAGGACTCCTCAGAGATTCAATGGCAATGGGAAGAGTAGATGAAAAGCCCTGTGGTTGGGGCGGGAATTTCTGATTTTGAGGCGCTAAAGAATTGGAAGCCCTAAATCTACCGGGATCCTTAAAGACCCTCAAACTCCCAGAGGCTAAAGACCCATTGATCCACCAGTTGGAGACCAAAACCATTTCGAACTCTCCATGTCGCCCATCCGTCTCAACCGAAAGAGAAGACTGAGGCCTCTGATGGATGTGGCCTTCCAGCGTCTCAAGGTGCTGGGATCGTGACAAACGATCCCGTTGCGGTCTGTGAAGATCCATATAGACTTCTGAACATGTTGGGTTTCACCATCGTGTGGTTGTTGACCTACACGAAAGAAGAATGCAGACAAGCTGCTTGGTCAAGTACTTCTCCTAAAGGGACCAAACATGACCAACAGCTCCAACAGCCATCCAAACACCTCCAACTCTGTTTCAGAAACCTTGAGGGATCCCTCCATGTCCCTCATGCATTGCTCGTGGTGTCCGGGAGGTGGCACACTTGGAGAACCCCTCAGCAGCTGAAGCAGGCCGAGATTGGGGAGCCGGAGGTGGGTGGTCGGGAAGTGGGCCGGAAAATGCAAAGAACATCATCGAATTCATACAGATGAATCGGGTAGATCTTCCATTTCTAGACTATTTCTAGATTTATCTGGGGGTTTTTACTTTTCTATATAGAAGCTCAGCTCTAGTTTTCGTTGGTTCAGCGGAACGAAGGTGGCCATACCAAAAGGTTGGCTCTTGATTTCGATATCCCTTTTTGCCAAGCAGCTCAAGGTCGTTGCTCCCGGCAATACTGCGACAGCTCTTACCACACATGATGAGTCAGAGCTTACCGTTCTTTGAGAGGACTCGAAGTGTGAGTGTGGCGAACTGAGACCTCGCTCCCAGACCACCTCGCTGCCGCGTGCTTGTGCCTGGCGCTGGCTGCCAAGTCACGGAAGAAGGCGGGTTTCAGTGCGAGCTGCTCCGCTTGTGTCTGTGGGTTGATCAGGACCCATTAAGTGTCTTTGAGTATCTTGCTTTCACTTGTCTAGGTGACCCGGTCCCAGTTCCAACATGTCACAGGTCCATTCACTCCCCTTTGACCTGACCCTGCATTTGCAGTTTTTTGGAGGCACCAGTGCGGCGGCTTCCCGAGACAGGCGCTCCGCCCGAGGAGGCAGCGCTGCAGCGGCTGTTGACCCTGGCGCTGGAGGCTCAGGCGTCTTGCCCGGAGCCGTTGGGGGGCGCCCTTAAAATAGATTAAATAGCATAAACATCAAAACTGCATTGGCCGCGCAAGTTCCGAGAATGGTATACAACTTTTTCTTCTCTACTTGACTTTAAACTCCATACATAGATCAGGCCTTTCCCAGGCTTGAACAGTCAAACAAACAGAACCAATCTGCCGGTCAGGTGATTCTCTATATGCCTGCACACGCCAACCTCCCAGCATTAAGCTGATTTTTGCCTTGCCAGGCCACCATCCCACCCTCCTTGTCGATGGCTGAGTACCTGACGAAGCACGACTCCCAGTGCTGTGTGAGCAGATTCTGTAGATTCGTTTGCAAATATAATCATGGTTCTTCCTTGTTGTGGTGGCTCTAAACTCCGTACTTTGTAATTGTTTGTAATAATCCGTTGCTGTTTTCTGCGGGGAACATCCGCGGACAATCGGTTTTGGCCCCGCCCAGCCCCATGATAGACATGGAGAGGACCAAGTCTAAAAGCAATGCATGTTTGATCCTTATGGAATTGAAGCGTATTCATGCGAAGTCGACAACACCAGGGATTCATGAACATCGGCGAATCGGCACGGACTAGTTTTGGTGTACAGGTGGAGGTTGACTGGCACCCGAATTGACGATCCATAGTGACTTTCTTTGCATGAGGTTCATTCAGCAAATACCCTTCAACAAGTCCTGTAGAATCTTGAGCTCCACCTGAGCACCACCTGTTGATTAGGATGCAACTGTTGATTGTTTTAGCTCTTTGCAGAAACACACAATAGCCATTGTTTTGAAGGCTCTTGATCTCAATAGCCATAGTGTTTGTTGTATCAGTAGCCATTCCTTCCCCAGTTCTCCATCGGCTGGGAGGCCTTTGCTGGCGGCGGCCTTGCTTCCGTTGGGGGCTTAGAGGTGGTCGCAGGGAGCTGACACTTCTTGTGTTGGCGAGAGTCTGTCCTTCGCTGTGACCGTGTTACACCATGACCGCGCAGTTTGGGTTCCGGGGGATGACATACTATGCCCAAGACGGACGCACCTGTTAGGAGCCAGTTCGAAATTTGATGAACTTTGCGATCGCTGCAAGATTCGTGGTGGGTGCACGTTTTAATCACGTCCCAAAGACAAGTGGAGATGCTCGCACTTGGCGGTTTTGTGGTTGTCACTTCGACCCCCCAAACACCCATGCTCATGCCAGAGCTTCGCCCATCCTCAGATCTTCTGTGGACATGTCTGCTGGAGTGGCCGCGATCTTGGAAGAGGAACCTTGCACTGTGAGAGTGTGGACTTGCGACAGAATCACACAAACATATTCATGGGAGGAATCTGGAGGAGTTTGTGGCATAAGGGATCAACTAATTCCTGTAAGGCAAAAGGAATCTTTTGAGTTAGTTGATCCCTTTCTTTGATCACTATGACATCTTTTTTTCATCAAATCAACAACTCCAGCGGATGCGATTGACACGTCTACTTTTACAACTTTCGCCCCTTTAGTTCTATTTGGGTGCTCATCTTTTTGGGTGCTCATCTTCAGGGTCCATATGTTCAATGCGTATTGAATGAGTTTTTGACCACAACAGTATCTGTCAGGGGGACCTCTTGTTTGCACACCTTCTGTCTCCAAGCTGCATGTACGTTGTTTGACTTTGCGGAACTTTGCAATGCCGGAACTAGCGCCCCTTTTTCTTTTTGTTGGTCTATAAAGGCTTGCAAATTGAAGGTTTTCTTCCGCAGAGACCCAAACATTTCCCCCAGAAGACCAAACACGTCAAGCTGCTCAATAGAAGGAAAAGGACGGTGAAGTCCCTTCCAGACTCTCCTCAAAGAACTCTGAGAGGAACTTGAACCCTCAGCGTCCTCACAGAATGAAACGGGCGGCGACTTGGACAGATCAGTACAACCAGAGTGTAGGTCCCAGCTTTCCCCAGTTTTGTCTAGTACTTAAGCTGGTTGAGCAACCGATCCATGGGGAGGTGTTGTAACCGCATGCGACATCCAGGAGACGTTCTGGCGCGGCGCCAAGCGGGGTGCCGCCTCACGGGGCCCTTCTGTACAGATCTTTGGAGGCGTTGCAAGATGGGTGGGGCAGACGAAGAGCGGGGATGGGTGAAGAGTCCTTTGATTTCAACTTTGGTTGAGAGTTTGGTGCATTGTTGTTGTGTTTCAAAGGGGCATGTGTGAGAAGGACACAATCTTTCAAAGAATCTGAGAATGCAACCATTTGCTGTGCTTTTTGAGCCTGTTATGGTGAACCCAACAGTTCGGGCGAAAAGACTTTGAGAGTGATGTGTATTAAGCGTATTAAGCCTGTGCTGTAAGACATTGTAAGACTTCTGGAATGTGCATCCATCTCCTCCAAGCAAGCAGAAAGAAGCGCCTCAAACACCTGGAGCGCGTTGACTTTCCACTGTTAGCTTTTGCCACCACCAGTGCCACCTCCCATCCCATATTGTTGTGGCAATGCGTGGCAATGCAAAACATGTCACAAGAATTCCAGCTGTCCTATCCCCTTTTGAAGCTAGACAACGACCATGGCCCACCAATCATATCGCTTCCACCAACCCCATCGGACGGCAACACAGGCTTCCCCAGCAAGCCGGTCGCGCGCGCGGTGGGCGCCCTGGGGATGATGCAGGATCGACGGAACGGCGGAGCTCAGCCGGAGAGGTGGTTGGGGAGTCGTTGAGTCCATCATCTCAGAGCAGAATATCTGGAAAATTGAGGAGAAGCACGCAGCAACATAGCGTTGTTTGGTTTGGCGTAAAAGCCGCATCACATCCTCATCTCCCAATAACCTGATGCACTGCGCCTTTGCCATTGTGCCCACGGGTGAAAGGTTGGACGATGTGGGAAACAGGTCGAAATCGACTCCAGTGACTCCAGATCGTCCATGTTTTGCCGGGATTGAGTACCAATTTGGGTCGAACACCGCGTCTTGCTTGCATTGTTTTTATACATGGGGTGGTTTACATCGCCAGATGGTTTTGCCCCAAAACATCTTCGGATTCGGTGACAGGTGCAACTCCAGAATTCTCCGGTGGTTTTTGTGCTCGCATCCAGCTTAGCTTGGCCTCCCTTCGGCCCGAACGTCAGGAGCAGGGCGTGGAACTGCCGACGAACACCTCGCAGGTGAGACCGTGCAACAGCGGTCGGGGTCGGCGGGTCGGCGTGCAGTAGCTTGCAGTTGTTTGTGGCCAGGTTAGGCTCATGAACTCAACAGGGGTTAGAGAAGTGGGATGCCTCCCTCGTGTGTTGTTTGCGATTTCGTAGACCTTAAGAGAGCCTGAAAAAGGGAAGCTTAAGGAATACAAGAAAAGGAACCTTCGAGAAGCACTTGCAGCCCAATACTTGCACTTATCATAATGTTTTATATTGTTTTATCATCAGTCCTGGCAGCGTATCTTCAATGTTCTAGTTTGGAATCACTATCAGCACCATGTTTGGTCCATACCAGCAGACGTTGCCATTTGATGTAATAACCCTCATGTTTGATCTCAGGAATATGTTTTTGCTCTTGGTTCTCCAATGATAGTGGCGGGATCTAAACCAAGTGTGGTCTGGAACGAAAAGAAACTAGGAGGATGGAAACTGCGGGTTGCTCACAGAAGCCAATTGTTGAGTTTCGATTGAGGTTTTACCCCTGCTTTCCTCCTACAAAGTCCTTCCAAAACCTTCATTTACCATCAAAGGAACATCTCATCCAAGCCATGGAAGAGTCATCAAGGGTCTCCATCTTCGCTCCGTTTCATCCATCTTCACTCCCTCAAAACCACCATCAACAGCCCGTCCCCCGGCCGCCGGCCCGGTCACGCCGGCCGCCTGCCGCGCGCGGCCGCTCGCTCCGCTCGCTCCGCTGGCCGCTCAGCGCGTCTTGCGGCTGTTGGACCTGGAGCGGTTCGAGAATACGGAGCTGCCCGAGTTGGTGCTGCTCTACCAAGGCCGTCGGGGGGTGAGTTCACCGCTGAAGAGGGCGGAACAGTGCGTGGATAGGTGTTGGTCAGGCGTGGATCGGGTCTGAGGATTGGGACGGAGGCGGTCACCGACGGTCATTCTACCCGACCGAAGCGGCGAGCAGCAACAATGCAACCTGAACAAGCAGAATTCCTGGACAGAAGGGTTTTGGAAGACACCCTTTTTGCAGGTAATTAGGTGCATAATGATGTCCGGAAGGAGCGGCCAGTGGTAGATCTGATACGGAAGCAGCGGTCATGTTCGATGCTCTCATCAGTGCAAAGCTGATGAACCAAAGTGACGGCTCACTCACTCATCATATGTGTGATACTGCGGCCAGGCATTCCGAATATTAGCTAGATTAATTGCATGTTAAAGGTGAGAGCATCAAGTTTTGCAAGGATTTGTTGTAATGTTTGAAAGAAGAGAACTGAGTAAACAAGATAGATGTTGTTAGGATTTGCCCTCTACTAACAATCATATACAATCATGGAAGTGGAACATGGTCTCTTGGAATATCATATTCATTTACAAAGAGGAGATGATCCACTTCCATGTTTATTGAAGGGTGGGTATACCCCTCATTCCGCCCATCTGAAGGCAATATATGCACCTCCCACTTCCAAGGCTCATCTTGTGTCAACTGGACCTGATCTCAGCCCAGCCCAGCTCGGACCAGAATCTGAGCAAAGGAATTGCACAAGAACAAAGAGTGGTACTGCAAGCCAGCTCACCTATTTCTGTCCCTTTTGGATCTCACAATATCCACTTCTGAGCCACTCCAGGATCCCGTCACTATAATTACTCCGGGGAGTGCAGCACAGCCGCCGAGCCGCCGCAGCCGCATCCGAACACGCCGCGCCGCGAGGTCTGCGGGGTTTGGGCCTGGAGAGCCGCATCAAGGAGGCCCGAGAGCTGCAGCAGGAGCGGCTGAAGCAGCGAGGCGCCTGTGGCTGGGCATTTGGAGGATTGAAACATTGAAAATGGATTATGAATCAAACAACATATCATAATATCATAATCAAAGTGAAATTGAATCATTGAAACATTGATATAATTGATTATGATTTGATCTTCCTTGGTTCTGTACACTGTACACTACCGATCACGCTGTCGTTTTTGGACCATGTTGGACCTTTTCGCGTCTCATCCTGTTGGCTGGCTCGGCACATCAACGACTTGACATTTTGTATTAATAGATTATACCCCGGGCGGGTCAAGTGAACTTTTGCATGAGGATTGGACATCCTTCTGATATGATCCGATGTGAACTCTAAACCAAGTATTCAATTAGCCTCTCAAGTCATATTGTACGAAAAACTGACCATCAATATCAATCATTTTCTTGGATTCCATAAAGCTGCACAGAAGTAGCAGACGCACGAATGTTTAAGTGTGATTCCTTGCATGTTCGTTCCGTACTCAATGTGATCACTTCTGAATGAAACTCCCTAACTAGAAAACACCTCTAGGGATTGGTGTCACAAGCCAGGGAAAACATCTTCTCAAGAAGCTGGCAAAAGCTCCCAAATGTCGCAGTAATTCCCCACATTGTTGTGTGGGGTTCTTGTTTTTTTTGCTGCACCTCCTCGCTCCTCCTTCCGCGCTCCTCCTTCCGCGCTCCTCCTCCTCTCTCACACAACATCTCTCACAACAACATCTCTCGCTTCACCACAACATCACTCAGACAACATCCCACACACAACACACAACATCGCTCACACAACATCGGATGCCAAGGGGTCGGATGACAAAACATCACTCAGAGATCATCCCATACACAGACAACATCCCACACACAACACACAACATCACTCACACAACATCGGATGCACAACGTCTCACACACCACAGTGTGCAGATTTTGTGGCAGGCGCAGTAGTTTGTGAACCTCCGTGTGCAGATCTCGTGGCAGGCACAGCACTTTGTTGCTTGCCAAGGGGTCGGATGTACGCCCTGGCGTCGTCTGGCGTCGG